AGAGAGAAAGAGAGAGAGAGAGAGAGAGAGAGAGAGAGACGCCTCCCAAAATAATAGTGTTCTTAGCATGTCACATCAGTAGTGAGAGCAGATGATTCAAGGGTGAGAAAGAGACAGAGGAGACAGAGACAGTGAGAGAAAGGAGAGGTCATTGTATGAGATGACAGACTACTGATTCCAGCTGGTATCAGCATATATTGTAGCTACCTTTTCCACACCCATTTACTTGACTGGTGGATACAGATTTATTTTTTCTTTACGTATTTTCGTAGTTTCCTCGTCACCATGGTGGGCAGGTGGAACTTTCTGATACTGAGTGAGTCGCATCTGTTATGTATATATTATTATATAATCATCTGCTGATAAAGTTTTAAAATGTTGTGTGCTCAAAGGAGGAAAACTAACTGGCTGGCAACAACAATTCAAAACAAAACTGTGTACAGTCAAATCTACAGCCAGTGAAATGTTGTATGACATTTTTAGTATTAAAACCTACATTATACAACGTAATGTTGACCAACGTGGTTTTCAGAGAAATTTGAAATGCAATTACATAATTACAACAAATATAAATAGAAACTAAAACTATATCACATAATAGTGTTTATTTCTTTTTTTAATTTTGTATTGTTATTATTACTTTGTTTAACAACTCTATACTCAAATCTGCCGGCAATCTTATCTTGAGTCTGGCTGGTAAAATTTTAAAGTGAGAACTCTCACACTCTGAAAATCTCTCTGTGGCAGTCAGAGCCTGAAGCCTAAAGGAAGGAGCGACTTTTCTTCAAACAAACCACTATTAGCGCCCCACTGTACAGAGGACCTCGGTTCTTATGCTTTTAAAGTTATATTTATACACTATGAGCTATTTGTGATTTGAATTAACTGAACATTTAATTAATTAATTATATGCTTATTTTAAGGATTATACTTAATGTATTGTATACACTGACAATGAAAAACATTATGTAACTGGAACCTTTTTTTTTCCTGTTTCTATATGCTGTTCATTACATCCATCTGGTGTTGTTTAGGCAACCACAGAGGACTGACTCTGCACTCTTAAAGCCTGAGAATGTAATGCTATTTTGAGCTTGTCATGCCAGCTGAATTTTCCTATAGGAAGCAGAGTTCTCTAGTCACCCATGTGTTCATGTTGAATTATGGTGCAGATGCTGTTGAAACAATGTAAGGAAATGAGGGTAGAGAATGAAGGCATTCACATTTTCAAATAGAGCCTTTTTAAAATTTAGAACATTTCTGGTGTTATTTGTGTGTCAGGCTGATCCTTTAATGATCCTGCAACTACACTGAAATATTTTAGAATAATTTAAAAAAGGATAGGGTCCAATGTAGCATATGTTGTGGGGGTGGCCGGGTGCTCACCTGGTAGAGCAAACATACCAAAGGCTGAGTCCTTGCTGCAGCAGCCATGGGTTAGAGTCTGACCTGTGGCCCTTTGCTGTGTGACCCCCTCTCTCTCTCCCCCCTTTCAGTCAATAAAGTAAAATATTCAGAAAGTGATGAATTGTTAGACTGACAGTTGCCTGCTTGCTTTTCAGTTCTGTACCTCCCCTTCATCACGGCCCTGTCAGTCTCATCCTGCCCTCCAGGATTTCAATCTACGAGGCAAAGATGCATTGGTATGACAATGGCAAACTTATCTTAACACATAACCCACCATGGAAAAACAGGCATGTTGTAGCCTGTGTGGGTTGTTTATAATAGATTGTTCAACTTTGCATTTAGAAATTAGAAACTAATAAATATATATAATATACAACCATTTCTGTGAAGTCAAATAAATTGCATTTGAAATTGAATATCACCTGAGAGTCTGCTGTAATATTCAGTTGTACAATATTTTAACTTACCTACTTTAACTTAGTTTTAGACCCATCTTAAATGTTTTTTTACTCAAGCGCTTATTTATGTGAATGTGTATGTTTACCCATTTTTTTTATTCCTGTGTCCTAAATTAAGATATAGATGAATGTGCTGTTGAAGAGGAGGATACTGATTATATTACACCATGTGGAAAGAATGCGATCTGTTTAAACACAAATGGCAGCTTCTACTGCCAATGTGAAGATGGTTTCATTTCAACAACACAGACTGTGAATTTTTCAGCTGAAACATCTGAATGTAGAGGTAAAGTGTCTTGTATATTAAATCAATGATGGCAGAGACTCTGTTTCTATTTGTATTGCATTCCTCATTTAAATATAAAAGTCCTGTCTTTATCTTTTTCTTTAAGATAAAAATGAGTGTTTGGAGAGTCCGGGCATCTGTGGATCTAATGCCACATGTTTTAACACAATTCCACATTACTCCTGTACTTGTGATGATGGATTCAGTTCCTCAAATGGAAAAGAAAGTTTTCAGCACAGTGACAATGTGACATGTAGAGGTAAGTTGCTTATCAGTAACCTCACTGAAAATACTGTGGAAGGCTTTACATATTTGTTCTTCTATGTGCTGCATAGCTTTATGTGTTTATGGTGAGAAAACACTGATGGTTGACTGATGGTTTCCTTTCTCAACTATTCTAAAATGTCTTCTGCATGCTCATATTGATATTGATTAATGTCACGATGAAAAGGCTTGTGGTCAGAATGCAACATGTGCCAACACACCAGGAAGTTATGACTGTGTCTGTAATGATGGCTTTGGACTGAAATCTGGCAAATCTATCTCCTCTGGCAATCGAGAGCAATGTGAAGGTGAAAGCTATAACATGATGCTGCAAAATATTTATTATTTTACAATTTCTACAAGTTATTTAGTTTAGTTATGAGTTTCACATTGTTTCATAAACTAGACCATTCAAATTTGCAGTTACATACTAATAATGTATGTAATAATGTATGTAGTGAATACTTAAATGATTTTATAAAATAACTAAAGTGTATTTTTTGGTAAAATAGAAGTTATCACTATATTGATGATACATATGTATGATTCCAGTGAATATTACACATGGATAGCTTATACAGTAGCTGTACTAAATGTGGTGTTTTTGTTTTCTCTTGGCATTTTTTGATGCAAAGCTTCTCTATGAACTGTAGGTGAAACTCAGGATCACAATTAGCTTGGTGCTCTCCAATACGTTATTGCAATAATGATTCCGATGACACTCAAAATTCAAAATGAAGCAGTTAGTGAAAGGCGATGGAAAGGTGAAAGCTTGTACCGTGCTACTTACAGTGTTGTTTATTCATTGTTTTTAAAGAGTAGATGATACCAGAAGTGGCCGGTTTAGACCTGGTTGGTTTAGTGAATGGCTGTCCTATGTTTTGGTTCTGTCTGGTCTGCTTAGTGTTTTTTATGCATTATCTTTAAACACCTATCAATAACCATTTTGGATATGAATGTTCTGGTGGATATTTAGGATATTCAGGTATTTACTGTTCCATTAGCACTGATTTAAACACACAGTGTAACCATTTTCCATCCCTGATTTGTTTCCATTTCAGATATATGTATGATTGATAAGACAATCTGCGGAAATGGAACCTGCCACAGTGGAGCCAGTGGCCATTTCTGTTCATGCTACGCAGGGTTCACTAACTATGGCAACAAAAGGTCTCGCTGCATTGGTAAGGGCAGAGCAACACTCAACTTTTTCCATTACTGAACCAATGTTTGTTCAGTAAATATAAAAACAGAACATATGAGTATAGGTATGCTAGTGATATGAGTGCTAGAGTCAGCAAGCACATCTAATGCAAGAAAACTTCCTGTTTCCACAGCGTTAGACTGTGATGTATTCAAAGATATGAACAATCTGAAAGAGGTAAAGCTACAACGTAAACTGTTTCATCACAGTTCAACATATATTTTAAATGTATATTGCCTTATACTTCTGTTTCATTCTCACAATCCTAGAAATATCCTGCTGCACATGATCTTGTGATGCAGTTGGAAAAAAGCTGTCTGGAGCTTAAACAAAGTGAGAATCCAACTAAGCTGGATGGAGAGGACACACTAATGGTATTTCTGCACATATATTCAGTGAAATGCATTGATTATCTTCTCTTCTATCTATAAGAAACTTTCAATTCCTTACAACCAGCATAAAAATAGGATGTTCTGCTTCCTTCAGGCTCTGTCACATGGTGTTCAGATGTCTGTGCACAACTTTGTAGACTGTTTATGTTGACCTGAGGTGGTATGCAGCCTGAAAGTCTGCCTCAGTCTAACTGTCTCCTGTTTCTCCCTGCACATGCTTATGTTGCTCGCTCTCCCCCTCCTCTCTTGTGCCTGTAGAGACTGTTGTCTGTGATCGACAAGCTCTTGTCCGGTAAAGCCTTCGAGGATAACAGGAAAGTCTCCACCTTTCTGGACTTGGTGGAGAACACACTGAAGCTCATCGGACCTTTAATTGAGCCCCCTGGGGCAAATAGATCCTCCACTCACACAGGTTGAATATAAAGTGTTACATAGTAAAGCTGTTGAATTTGTTCTTTTATTTGGTTTCTCATTTGCTAAGATATGTAATTTTCTTTTCAACAGCTGGTATTCTGGATTTTTATTTAGCTGAAGTAATCTACAGTATTAACATACATGTAATGCATGTGGATAAAAAGCAAATTTTTGTATTGTATGGGTCCAGAGCTTGAGCTGCTGGTACATAAGGGACGTGACTTACCCCAGGGACCTGTGACTTTAACGTCTAAGAAAACTCAGCTGAACATCCAGATGAAGACAGCTGCTGGAGATCCCTCCAATTACCCTGGTAATGATCATGGCTATAATTTGTAACCACTTTAATTAAGATTTAGATGACCTACAAATGTAATGAATGTCCACTTAATCAATGTTGCCCTGCTATGATTGTAAAAGGTTTTACAACAGTGTCCTTGCTGAGCTATGCAAACCTGAAAGACTCTGCAGATGGATACTTCAGTGGGATGAAACCACAGGAGAACCAAAGCTTTGAGATCAACTCTAAAGTCGTGACTGTCACTGTCAGTAACAGAAACACAAGGCACCTTGAAGAGCCAGTCGAATTAACTTTCTACCACCTGAAACAGGTAGCATATCGTTTGTTATTAAGGATAAAAATCTCCTGTTGGATAATATTACTTCCACAATGGTTATCACCTCTGTTTTTCTTTTACAGTTAAATAAATCTTACCACACCTGTGTGTTCTGGGATTCCTCTGAGGAAGGAGGGGCATGGTCTGCTCGTGGTTGCAGTGTGGTGGAGTCCAACGTTGAATACACTGTGTGCTCGTGCAACCATCTGAGCAGCTTTGCTGTGCTCATGGCACTCTATGAGATGGAGGTTAGAGCTCTCAGTTACCTACATTAAAGATATATAGAGTTTATAGTTGAAACTTCCATCCATCTCTGTGTACTGTAATGTAACCCTTCTCTCTCCCTCTCTCTCTCTCCCCCAACAGCACAAGTTCGAGTTGCAGCTGATCACCTGGGTGGGTCTGTCCCTTTCACTTATTTGCCTGTTCATCTGCATCCTGACGTTCTCGTTGATCCGCTCCATCAAAAGCCCAAGAACCACCATCCACCTGCACCTCTGCATCAGCCTCTTCATTGCCATGCTTATCTTCCTTGCAGGCATCTCTCGTACAGAGAACCGGGTAAATGCTTCCATAATAGCTTGCACAGCTACTGAATGATTTATGTGGGTGATTTATAAACAACAATTCAGCAAGTAGTTTCTTCCTATTTATTTCTTCCCATTTCTCTATCTTTTATCCTTTTTCCTTGCTGTCATCCTGATCCTCATCTCTCTCCCTACTGCATTAGACTGGCTGTGCAGTGGTGGCAGGACTGCTGCATTTCTTCTTTCTGGCAGCGTTTTGCTGGATGTGTCTGGAGGGCATACAACTGTTCAGGATGGTAGTCCTGGTCTTTAACACCAACTTCAAAACCCTCTACATGATGGCAGGTGGCTATGGAGTCCCAGCTGTAATTGTCAGTATCTCTGCCTTAGCTAATGCTAAGGGATATGGCACTCAGCGACAGTAAGTTCCCTCTACTGATGCTGACCTTGTTTTATTTTTAATTTATACCCGAATCCCAGATTATGTTGACATATAGTGTTCTCATTAAACTCTCAATATGCATTGCAGTTGTTGGTTGGACCTGGAATTCATTTGGAGTTTCTTTGGCCCTGTCTGTATCATCATAATTGTAAGTAAGAAAATAATTATTGAGATGAAACATATCCCTAAAACTGACTTCACTGCTTTTTTAAAGACCTCATCTCTGTTGCCTTTCAGGTAAACATTTTCTTCTTTCTCATCACTGTGTGGAAGTTGGCACAGAAGTTCTCAAGTTTAAACCCCGACTTGGACAATCTGCAGAAAATAAAGTGAGTCAGCTTAACAAACCAGTGGCCTGCAACAATCAGGCACATGTATGCTGTATGTATGTATTGTATGGACGAGGTGTGTATGTGTGCAATTATGTGAGCATGTGTTTACAGTATGAAATAACATGATTTATAGCACTGCGCTTCCCCTAAAAGGTAAGCTTGCTCCTGTTAAAGTACCTCAGATTTGACCCGTGTGAATCTTTGTTGCCTCCTGCAGGGCGTTCACCATTACTGCAGTGGCTCAGTTGTGCGTGTTGGGCACCATGTGGATCTTCGGTTGTTTCCAGTTCGAGGAGGGCACAATAACAATGTCTTACCTGTTCACCATCTTTGGCAGTTTTCAGGGCGTTATGCTCTTTGTCATGCACTGTCTGTTTTCTAAACAGGTCGGTCACACTCCTCTCACAAATAAAAAACAAACTCTGCTGCTTTTTATGGTGTCAAAACTCAATTTGTGTTCTGATTGTAGGTGAGGGAAGAGTATGGAAACATCCTGTCCAGATTCTGTGCACCTAGGAAGAAGAGCTACTCAGAATTCAGTCACTCAAATTCCAGCAAAGCTCATGTAAGCGGTTATATATATTGTATTTTTGTTTCTCAGTGAAGTTATCCAATAATGTTACAGTTCACATTCACTAATTTAAACAAAAAGCAACATAGCAATGTTCTGAATGAAATGTGATACAGTATAATATATATTTCTAGTTTATTTGGCAAATATATTTTCATAAAACAATATTATCTAATATCTTTACTGCTTGTTAAATAAGATTTTGTAATTTGCTCACTAATGGTACGGTATTACAGGAGGTGTAAAGTGAAGCGTGTTGTTGGTGGGAGAGCAGAGCCTGTCCTGATAATGAAAGAGTATTGAAAGTGTCTGTCATGACTGATTGGCTTGTCTCTCCCCTCTGTGGCCCTCAGGCATCCAAGAGCACCCAGGACACAGGAGAGTCTCACATCTGAGTTAAACATTGGAAACAGTGGAAGTCTGATTTATTTCCTGAAGAGTGCCATCTCAGACAAATGGCCAGCTGCCCTCCCATTTGTAGCCAGTGCATTAGTTTGCTTTATAAAACATTGTTATTAATATCCTTCTATTCCGTTTTCTTTACTGTTACTCATTATTGAGTTGGTCTTTGCATTTTAAGCTATTGACATGGAACTGTTGGTTGTTATAATTAATAGGATTTCCTTCAAAATGAGAAAATAAGAAATGACATTCAAGATTAAGAATTACCATAATGCTATGGACTATTCTGTCTTTATATTTCAGCTATTAAGATGACACATGATTAAACCCCATAGTGTGCTTTACTTTCATGCCAACTCTCATTGTTGTGGAGTAAATAAATGGGGAATAATGTCACTCATTTTGGAAAAAGAAATCGGGTAATATGGCACTTTTTTTCCTGCATAAGCTGCCACATTTAATTTGATATTAATTAAATATGGCCAACAAAAGGAGGACAATTATGAGACAGAAATGTATTTCAAATGTATGTTTGTGTGTATATATTGCTGGGCAATTCTGTAGTATTACTATAAGTGACTGCATTCCTGCTCCATTCAGTGTGCTGTACCATGTTAAATGTATTATATCTAAATATTTGCGAAGAGATTTTTATTTACCAAGTTCAGATAATACATGCTTCAAAACTTGAATGTTCAAAGAATCCCTCTCCTGGAAGCTTTTAATTAAATAAATATTCTGTTGTACCTCATGCTTAAAGTCTTCTCACCACTGGCATTGAATTATTTCAGTATGTATGGGATAAATTAGTTTTGAATAAAGGCCAAATGCAAGTTCTTTATGTCAGAGCCCATTTGGCAGACATAACAACAAGACCTTTATGTCTGACACTCTGCCACGTAAGTATTTTGTTACTGCTGGAATACTCAACTGGCAGATTGAAAAGATAGAAAGAGTTATACATACAGAGGAAATAGAACATAATCTCCCCTTCCGTCCCATTGTGTGAGATACAGACATGATGGTCTCACAAACAACTCTGAAGTCTCAAAACTGGTACTACTATGGTCTGGGTTTATTTTACATCTAAAATATTCTTAAATATCTGTCGGGATAATATTCAGTGTGGAATGAGAGTATTTTATTCTTCCAAAAAAGGATCCTCTTAAGTATACCAGAAACCCTTGAGGCATCGTCATGCCGTCATGCATCGTCAGACTCCTTTGATGTCCGTCTCTGTGCTATGTTTATGTGACTGACAGTGGGTGATAATCATCATGGTACCAGTTGAATAACAGACTCAAATCCCTTTCATTTAAGGCAATTAGATAATTGAGAATTTGAGAAAGTAAATGAGAAAACATCCATGACAAATTACTTTCACTATTTCACTATTTAACTCTTCAGCTAGCACTGGATCAATACTACAAAATGAAAGTGATGGCTGAGATCCCCTCTGGTTCAAAGGGGAGATGAATAGATGGAAAGAATACATCCAGAGGAGGAAGGAGGATGGAAAATGCAGGTCCAGCATGCGCAGATAAAATAGCTGCCAATCCCCTGGAGAGAGAGACAGTCGGACCAGGGAAAAGAAAAACTGCAGGAGAGACAGGGGGGAAGAAACGGAGGAGAACAAGAGCACATAATTTGCAACAGTAGTGATAACTGAATGTGGCAAATCGGGCAGCTCTGCAGATGAGAGACACATTTGTCTTATCTTATTTAATTTGAACCATTTAAAACAATCGAGTATTCATCTGGAGTCATCTGAAGGTAAGTTTCATTTATTATTAATAACCATTTAAGGGTCATTTTCTTCATAGATAACATACTTAGTCCATTCTTCTCTGGTAGAAAATTCGTCCAAGTGAAGCTTAAATATATGCAAAATAGAGGGAATGAGACTTACACATGAAAAGAGATTGATCTCTAGGAAAGCAAAGATTTCTCATAGATTTCATCTATTTAATACACTTTTATTATGAATGAGAGATGCGAGGAGTTAAATAGAGATGCATACATCCTGATTAAGGTATTTAAGACACGGATAAAGGCAGAAGAAGCACTACCCTGCGATCAGCTAGGCTTTCCTTTATTATGCCTGAATTGCTGTGAAATGTTTTGTGTTGTTTAAAGAACACAGTAATTGCCTTGAAGTGTGAGAAAAGATACAGTATCCAGTTTGTTACATAAATTCCATGGTAAATGATATCAAACTTAACAAGACAACTTTTTTTTGTTACTGATAAAATCCTCCCAAACCTGAATCCGGTTCTTTTTAATTATGCAGTTCCTCCGTAATTTCCTCACACTCTCCAGGGAAATTGCCTCTCTGTGTGAATTTAGACAGACTATCGAAGAAGTAAGAGGGAGGTAACAAAAAGAAATGCAAAAACAAAAAACTTTTTGAAAAAAGGAAAAGAATAGAAGATGATAAAACAAATGGCCTGCTTGATCAGCTGTTACTGGTGTGGAGACAATGAGAAGCAGTGGAGCTTATTCTTTCTCTCTGAAACTCCGAGTGGTCTTTTTTTAAACCTTTGGAGGTCTGTAACCTCAACAGTTTATGTGGAGTATGCTAACAAAGCAGATAGGTATTGAGATTCAAAGGATTCTATTGGGCATGCTATCTCCCCAGAAGATGGAAAATAACCAAAACAAATTTAGCTGCAGTTTTGACTCTTTGTTGTCTTCTTAAATAAAGACACATCAGCTCCTGGAACCTTTTGCCATTGGAGTTCTTTTCTAAGGTTACCATCCACGTACCTATTAAAATCTGTGAGATTAAAATCATTCAGAAGAGTGGGGATCCATTAACCTGTTAAATATCAAGCCTAGTGTTTGATACCTGGTGTATCACAATAGAATGAAAATTGCTTATGCAAATAGGCCCTTCCTGCAAGTTAAAGCTTAAAACCATCAAATATTAAATAGCAAGACTGCTGTTTAAAATAATTCTAAAACTAAACTCTCTTTGCAACACAGGCACATACACTGTGGCACACTCATGGCATTGTGACAGTTCAGCCGAAACCAAATACTAGCAGCTGAAATGGAGTAATGAGTTGGGGAAAACAGTCAAGCGAGGAGTTGTGGAGCCGGAAAGGTGAGCTTTCACAAAAGATAAATGAGCAAGGTAGTTTTATGACAGGTGAGAGATTTAAGGGTGTGGAAAGAAATGTGTCGAAAGAAGAACATCCTGTTTTGCAAACCGACCAAATAAACGCAGCGGAAATGGCACAAGTTTCCTACATTTTCACATCATTATGGCAGTAAAGTTCAAAGTTTTATAATCATCTCCTCAGGGCCTCCACTTGTCTAAGGTACATTTTCTTTTGGATATTTCCTCTCCTTGTCTATTGTAATTAAGACAAAATATCTTCCAAATAACACACACTGACATAAACACACTGCTGGACACTGATCTTTCACGTTTTTGAAGGTTTGCCTTTGTGAGAATGCATTTATTCTTGTATTCTAAGCAATCACTTGTACATGTGCTTGCATGATAGGTAGAGACCAAAAACACTAGAAAATACTCTGGCATGGTTTCATCCACTCTTCTTTATTAATGCCTGGGCTGCAGTAGCTTTTCTAATTAAGGTCTAAATCTCAAGTGTCATTGACAGACCATTGACCCAGTAAAGCATGTATCATAGCATTCATTAGTACACGATTTTGCATTTAAGACTTCTCTGTTGCCCTGTCTATGAATTATTTGAGAGACCTTTTAGACAGCATAACGGGATGGCATAAAAACAGCATAAAAGTCACTCAGTGGCTATGCTTGAACTAATGGAAGAATTTTAACTTTGCCTGTAATTCTCTGTAGATGACACTGAAGATGAGGACATCGTCTATACTCATGACTTCATTTTCTACCTCTTCTACGCCGTCCATCCTCCCCCAGACCCTGAACATAAACTCTTCTGAACAACCTAGTCCTTGGCTGAACAGCAGCACCTGGTCACCTGTCAAATCTTCAGGTTTTGGGATGTCCTGCTTCACCATGACATTTGGTGCCATCTCCAACCTCACTGCTCTGGGAATCTTGGCTCGTGTCCGATACCGCCAATCAAAATCACCATTTCTGCTACTGACAGTGGCTTTGCTTTTGGCTGACCTGGGAGGCCATGTGATCACAGGCGCCTTTGCTTTGTATTTGCACATGGATCGGAGGTATACACCACAAGCTGGGAAGCCCACTGAGAAATTCTGTCAGATATTTGGGGCAAGTATGGTGTTTTTTGGCTTATGCCCTTTGCTGTTGGGTTGTGCCATGGCAGTGGAGCGCTGTGTGGCCATCACCCAGCCCTTTTTCCACGCTGCCATGATCACATTGGCTCATGTGCGGCGAGTTGTGTTATTTCTGTCGTCTCTTGCACTTGTGCTGGCAGTGCTACCCTTATTGAATGTGGGGACTTACACTACGCAGTCTCCCGGGACATGGTGTTTCTTGCCTATCCATGGCCCACAGTCTACAGCTGACACCAATCTGACTCTGGCCTTCTCATGTCTGGGCCTCACTGCACTAACTCTTTCCCTACTCTGCAACATCCTGAGTGGTCTGGCATTGCTGCACGCCAGAATGAAATCCCACAATGTTAATACAAAATCAGCAGCTCGCTGTACGCGCCATGCATCGTCCGCGTCGTCTTCCTCCTTGTTTTGTTCGTTGGATGTGGAAATGATGGCTCAACTGGCAGTGCTCACTGTGGTTTCCTCTGTATGCTGGAGCCCCTTTCTTGTGAGTACCAGTCTTTTAGATTGCAGAATTTGTTTCCATTTCCACCTTTTGTGGTCAGGTATTTTTAAGAATATTGTATATGATAAAGTAAGATAAGAGCTACACTTCGAGTGATTCTGTGTTTGTCATTATAGATCCACATTCTTGTGATGCAGTTCAACCAAAGCTCCAGAGACTCATCTCATGGGAAAGATGGGTTTATTCTTCTGGGCTTACGTATGGCATCCTGGAATCAGATCTTGGACCCTTGGGTTTACATCTTACTGAGGAGGACAGTGCTTTTCAGAGTTTTCTCTGCTTTCTACACACAGAAACCCACAGTGAAAGCAAATAACTCCTGTGCAGACACACGCATGCGGGCTCTCAGTCTGCAATGAGAATGCTCTTGAACTTTTTGTCTCTTATGTACTGAAATAAATTATTTCTTTCATGTGTGTTAAGTAAATAAAATAAACTTTGCTGTGTTATTTTCAACAAGGCTTAGTGAGTCTCATATTCAGCCAGCCGAGAGTCTACAAAGCAGCAGTGTGAATATGGGATGGAAGCAGACTTTCACAACATTTTCCAACATTTAGTTAGTAGTCTGTGTCGGTGCTACTATCAATAGCAGGCACCTGCAAATCTGGTGGTTGGGAAATTGGGCGGGGTTTGTATTGTCCAATTAAAATAGAGAAAAGTTTGACAAGCGCCTAGTTAAACAAATGGCTGAGCTGCTGGAGGAAAGCTCACACCCGGGGTGGGCGGTGCTTCTTTGGCAATGATTCTATTCAATATGGAGTACAGAAAATAGCCTGATTCACTCTGCATTTCACTACTCTCATTCAGTTTCCCGTTACCCTTGAATGTCGGGAACACATTATAAGTTCAGCCCGTAGATGCCAGCCTACTGGACTCGCTCACGTACGTTTGACATATTTCAAAAAATAATTTGAACGTAATTTATTTACTAGCCAACCTAACAACCGCGCTGGCGAGCCGTGAACTGTAAAACTGTGAGAAAAAAAAAAACACACTTACAAACTCCTGGTTTCCCTAAAAACGCAACATTGTTAATCTCCTCGACGCTCTCCACATCCGGAGGAAGATTTGAATACTCGACGGTTTCCGAGAAAGTAACTAAGTAACAAGTTGTGCCGACCGGCGAGGTTATCGGGTGAAAGGTGACATTGCTTCGGGCTCTTGCCTCGTAGGTACGTTGTATGCGATACATGGATGTAAATTATGCGCTTAAGTTGACGATGATTCTTCATGTGACCCGGAGAGTGATGAAGTCTAGTTTATGTGCGATGCTTAGATGTGAGCTGATTGATGTATGCTAGCTTTAATCCTGCTCTGAGCTTTCTCGGTTGTTTTTAGCTAGGCTATTGCCTAAAAAAACAACATTTTATTGTATGTACTTGTGTGCCAACCTGTACTCCAGTAGTTCAACTTCCTGAGTCAAACCCATGTAGGCTATCATAAAAGCCCATCTTTCTCCCATTTCCTCCATGACAAGAATGCACAATGCGGCCAGTGTCTCAGCCTCTCTGGGGTCCATGGGACTGTTGCGTCTCTTTGGGGTGTCCTGGTCCTGGAGTCTGGCAGCAGGCCTTGGGGTATATCTGGGCACAAGAACCTGGAAATACTTCTACATTGCAGCACGCACTGCCAAGAGAGACCTCAAGTAAGTTCAGTATGTCCAAATATGGTTCTGCAGTTGTTTATGCAAGTAGTTGTCATTGCTTGTGGGTCTACATCCTTACTAATTTCTCTTTCTCTCCCTCATCTGACCCTCACCAGTGGCCTGTATGTGCTGTTGAGAGTGAAGCTGGCTTTGTGGCGTTACATGCGTAATGGAAGTAATGTTCCTTCCATATTCGCCCAGACCGTAAAACTCCACCCAAATAAACCAGCACTGATCTATGAGGCCACGGGGGAAACATGGACCTTCACACAGCTGGACGAGCTGTCTAATGCCGTGGCCCACTGGGCAAGAGGTCAGGGATGGATCTCGGGGGATGTGGTGGCCCTCTTTATGGAAAGCAGGCCGCTGCAGGTGGCCCTTTGGCTGGGCTTTGCCAAGGTTGGGGTGGAAGCTGCACTCATCAACTTCAACCTCCGCCATGATTCCCTTCTGCACTGTATCGGGGTGTCAGGGTCACGGGCTATTGTGTTTGGAGCTGAGCTTGCTGATGGTAAGAATGTGTTTTAACAAGGTAGGAAAATCTGATCAAGAAATTAGGATCTAGCTTTAGCCTGTTCAGTGCTGTATTACAGCATATTATGTTAACCTCATATTCAACCAATTATTTAAAAAAGCAGATAATTGTGTTGTCATTGCAAGCAAAAGGACCAGCCTCAGTAACACATTTATTGTCATGTTTGATTAACATTTTGTGTGTAACATCATGCGAGAATGTCATGATGCGGTGTCACACGTTGGTATTCATTGTGTGTGTGGAACATAAACTGTGATAATGACTGTCTCCAACATGTCATGTGGTCAGGACACGCTGCCGGTGATCACATTGCCTGTAAAACTCCTTCTATGTCATCTCTTTTTGAAGTTAGTTAACATTTGATTCTCTTCCTTCTCTATTACAGTACAAACCCTTAACTCCTTTGTCCCTGTAGTTTCTGTAATGTCCCACTTGTGTCTGTGTGCATGTGAACTGTGTTTGCTGAATGTTTTCATTATTCAGTACATTATTCAAACTTGAGAGCTTCAACAGACCTGACTGGTGTCTCCTCTTCCTATTTCCCTTTTGTTCTTCTCCCTGAATATCAGCCATGTTGGAGGTCAGTTCCTCCTTCAGCCAGTCCATGGTACAGTTCTGTACAGGTGACCTCAGTGCAGAACATCTGGCCCGTCTGGGTGCTCATCCTCTGGACCCAATTTTAGCGTCTGCATCTAGACATCCCCCTTCACCTTGTGTTCCCCCCAAAGGCATGAACGGTGAGTATCTTACCTATTACTGAACTCAACTCTGACTCTTTTTAAGACTGAATATGTATGTCAATGAGCTTCCTTTTAAATATACCCTTCACAAACTATTTTTCTCATACTGTGTTTGGCTGATAACCTTTTTTTTATTTATTTTTTTTACTCTCTTCTGAATTCTGAAAGTGTATGTCCCATAGTCCTCTGTCTGCTGTCTAGTTTCTGAACTGAAATTGCTTCCCAGTAATTATGTGAATTGAGTTGCAAATTGCAACTGCTTCACAAAGCAGTTATTAAAGTAAAATGAAGTCATTATTAATGAGTTTTGAGTCACTTTGAATACCAAGATAGATTTTTTTTGTCTGGACATCTGTCTGGAGTAGGTATGAATAACTTGTTGAGATGTGGACTGTCTGAATGACAAACCATATCCCTGAACAAATCCCCGGTAAATCTGTCTTGGATGAATGAACATGTACGTCAGCATTAAAGGTGCAAGCCCAAGATATACCCTGCATAACAAACTAGAGGTGTGTATTGCCCGGGATATCAGTGACTATATTTTCTGCTCTGTCATTGTTTGGGTTCACTGATGGCATTCCAGCAGTGATTGAAATGCTGTCCGGACACCTGTGTGGATCTTGAACTGACAGTGTGTAATTATAATGCTCTTTTTTTTATCTCTTCTTCAGACCGTCTATTTTATATATACACCTCTGGCACCACAGGGCTGCCCAAAGCTGCCATCGTGGTACACAGTCGGTACGTTACTCACAATGAAACGCCACCCCCCAGAGTTGTTACAGTTGCTGCAAAGCTAATGATAGACGACCTGAGAATCTCTCCTGTGTTCCCACGACAGTTACTACAGAATTGCTGCTTTTGGGTATTTTGCCTTTCGCATGCGCCCTGATGACATCATCTATGACTGCCTGCCTCTCTATCACTCTGCAGGTATGTGATGGTAGCCACCAGCTCTTGATTAATACAGTTTTTTACACTTTTAGGTTTTTATAAATAGTGTTAATTGTCTCTTCTTTCCAGGTAATATCATGGGAGTTGGTCAGTGTCTGATCCAAGGACTCACTGTGGTAGTGAAGAAGAAATTCTCTGCCAGCCGCTTCTGGGAAGATTGCATTAAGCACAACTGCACTGTAAGAGCTTATGCTTGGAAACTATTGAGAAGTGCCATATTTTATTAAATCAATAACATTAATTTTGAACAAGTACTGCAACAATACTTGCTTTCCCGTCATAGGTGGTGCAGTATATCGGGGAAATCTGCCGCTACCTCCTGTCTCAGCCAGTACGGCCATCAGAAAAAGGTCACAAAGTTCGGCTGGCTGTGGGAAACGGGTTGCGCCCCAGTGTGTGGGAGGCCTTCACAGAACGTTTTGGGGTGGCACAGATTGGCGAGTTCTATGGAGCGACTGAGTGCAACTGTAGCATTGCCAACATGGATGGAAAGGTCAGCAATCAGTCTTACTGGGGTCATCACTGATAAAAATGTTAATTGGATCATAGTTTAGCTAATTCTGTTCTGCCAGGTGGGAGCCTGTGGATTCAACAGTCGCATTCTCCCCAATGTGTACCCGATCCGTCTGGTGAGGGTGGACGAGGACAGCATGGAGCTGGTTCGCAACAGCCAGGGCCTCTGTGTGCCTTGCCGCCCTGGTAACTAATACTAATACTACAATAATGACTTGGCTCCATGTAGTATGTGATTGTTAACTGTGTTGATCATCTGAAAGCACTCCATTAGACTCTACCGTGTCTTGCAGGGGAGCCAGGGCTTCTGGTGGGTCGTATCAATCAGCAGGACCCATTACGGCGTTTCGATGGCTATGCTAACCAGGATGCTACAAGGAAGAAGATAGCTCACAATGTCTTTAAGAAAAATGATTCTGCATATATTTCAGGTTACCTGTCCTTTTGTAATTCTCAAAATACATATTTTTGTATTGCTGTTGCATCATAACACTCAGATAAACACAGATAAATGTTGAAACCCTGAAAAGTAGGTAATGTCGGATTGCCAAGCTTTCTTTGTCAGTGCTCAGTAATGTGAGAATTAGTTGTGTGTCTACACTAGGGGATGTGCTGGTGATGGATGAACTGGGATATATGTACTTCCGTGACCGTGGCGGAGATACATTCCGTTGGAGAGGAGAAAATGTCTCCACCACCGAGGTGGAGGGCATACTCAGCAGTCTTCTGGGTCAGACTGATGTAGCTGTGTATGGTGTGACAGTTCCAGGTGATGGTTAACTTTATATACTTGGTTATGTCAACATCACCTTGGGGCATTCCTTTTTGCTGTACTCACTACTTGACATTTATCTCTCTGTGTCACACCAGGTGTGGAAGGTAAGGCAGGCATGGCTGCCATCGCAGACACCACAGGGACTTTTGACAGCAACAGTTTCTTCCAGAAAGTCCAGAGAGCTCTTCCTCCATATGCTCGCCCCGTGTTCCTACGAATCTCCCCACATGTAGACACCACAGGTAAACTGTCCTAATATCCCTCCTGAGTTCATAAAAATGCTAACCATCACTGTTGATTTCATGTCAATACATCATCATAATCTATTTTATGTATCTCCACATTTCTGTCTAGGTACATTTAAAATCCAGAAAACCAGGCTGCAGAGGGAGGGATACGACCCACGTCTCACCACTGATCAGATCTACTTTTTGAACAATAGAGCTGCGATTTATGAGGCTGTAGAGGAGGAGCTATACAATGCTATAGCGGAGGGAAGAATGTCTCTATGACATGGAGGCCATAGCAGGGCAGTCTTGGTGCTTCAGTTAAAGAGATGCTGTTAAGAGAAGATGTCGGGATCAGTCAGTCTTGGTGCACCACCTGCCTGGATTTTAACCTTTCAGGGAACGGAGTTGAAAGGACTACTTACATAGGCAGAGTATTCTTACAGATGATGTTTTAACACTGTATGAGTAACAGACCAGGACATAGTGGAAGGGCATTTATTCCCTTTTAATAACTTCTTTTTAATTATTAAATGAACACTTCAAAACGCCTTTGAGCATTACACTTAGAGTGGGTATATCCCACAGCCCATTTAAAATAGGATACATGTTAAAGTAATGTGGTTAGGACAGCATGGAGTAGTATCACATCAAACTTTGTTACAGGGTATATACCCATTTATGCTGCAAGAATAATTCTGTGTAGGTTAAGCAATACTTGAGCGTGAAGTTATGGAGTTACTGCTGTGTTTGGACCAGGCTGAAAGACTTCAGCATGCAGTACATGTGGCAACTAGATTGAACACTAACCATAGAGTTTTTTTTAATGAAATGGAAAAACTAATCTCACTTGTCATATTTGAACCTCTGTACAGTGGCACAGGTTTGCAAATACACAAAAGTTACTGTATGTGCCTTAAATGAAACTTCAGATCCACGTTTCAGTTTTTTTATGCTTTTTTTGGGAACAGCTCAAAAGATTGTGGAAATCACAGTAGTGATTTTGTGTCATGCAAAGCTGAGTCACACATGGTGACTCGTTTTATGTAACAAATCTTATCCTTGTAGTAATATATATATATATATA